CTTTCTTTCTTTCTTTCTTTCTTTCTTTCTTTCTTTCTTTCTTTCTTCCTTCCTTCCTTCCTTCCTTCCTTCCTTCCTTCCTTCCTTCCTTCCTTCCTTCCTTCCTTCATCTCTCCCTTCCTTCCTTCCTTCCTTCCTTCCTTCCTTCCTTCCTTCCTTCCTTCCCTCCCTCCTTTTTTCCTTCCTTCCTTCCCTCCTTTTTTCCTTCCCTCCTTCCCTCCCTCCTTCTCCTTCCTTGCTTCTTTCCTTTCCTTCCACCCTCCCTCCCTCCCTCCCTCCCTCCACAATGCAGTACATAACAGGCATATGCCCAGTTTCCAGGAAATATACAAGGATTTCCTAACAGGGAAATTTCCTAACAGTGAGAACCTTTAATCAGTGGAAAGGTTTGCATCCAGAAGTCGCGCGTGCTCCATCCCTGGAGGGTTTCGTCCCCTCCATGGCCTGGGGTCTCCCGTTTGTACCAGCCTCCCCCTTGCCCAGATGTGGAAGGCCTGAGGGAGGGGGAGGGGGAGGGATCGTCCCTTGTACTGGGTCTGCTTTGTGACTGGGTCGTCTTCTTTTCTCCCCAGCCATGGCCCCCAAGAAGCCCCCTCCGCCCCCTCCACCACCGCCTCCCCCCGAAGAATTAATCCACGTGCCTAAATTCAAAGCGATCCCTCCAGAGGTGAAATGGCGAGTGATTCGACTGTTTGGGATCTTCTGTTTCTGCGTCTTTGTCGTATCAACGGTTCGCTGTAAGTTCTGGCCAGGAAGTCCTCGACTTATGACAGTTTGTTTAGTGACCATTCTAAGTTACGACGGCACTGACCAAAAAAGGGACTCGGAGAGTGGTGGGATTCAAAAATGTTTTTCGCTACCGGTTCTGTGAGCAGTGGGTTGGTGGGCGTGGCAGGGGAAGGATATACTGCAAAATCCCCCTTCTCTCCCCACTCCACTAACCTGCTTTCCAGCTCCGTTCTCCTGTGCAGGGCAACCAAAGGAGACCCAGCCGATCAGCCGGGACTCAATGGGAGGCAGAGACTATATGAGGGCAGAGCCAGTTAGAGGTGGGATTGGCCGGTTCTCTGAACTACTCAAAATTTCTGCTACCAGTTATCTAGAACCAGTTTGAACCAGCTGAATCCCACCTCTGGACTCTGGGCCGTTTTTCACACAACCGTTGTAGCCTCCCCGTGGTCACTGGATCCAAATTCAGACTCGTATTTATGATGGTCGCAGTGTCCCCAGAGGGGTCATGTGACCCTGTTTTGTGACCGTCTGACAAGCAAATTCCACGGGGAAGCCAGATTCACTTAACGACCATGTGAAAAATCAACAGAGGCAGGATAAGTTGTAACACAGGGCAAAACTCACTTAACCAAGACCTCACTGAACGACAGAAATGTTGCGCTCCATTGTTGTCATAAGTTGAGGACTCCCCAGCTGAATAAAAAGCCTGCACTACATGTTAGTCCTCCCCTTGCAACCCCCAGCTGAGCCCCAAATGCCCACATTGCTAAGCGAGACGTTGGTTAAGAGCCCCACTGAATGACCTTTCTTGCCACCATTGTTAACTGAATCCCTGCCGTTGTTAAGTGAGCAATACGGCGGTTAAGTGAATCTGGCTTCCCCGTTGACTTTGCTTGGCAGAAGGTCGCAAAAGGGGGTCAGGTGAGCTTGAGGCGCTGAAACCATCGTCAATACGAATCGGGAGCCAAGCATCTGAATTTGGATCCCGGAACCGTAGGGATGCAGCAATGGTTGTAAAGGTGAAGATACGGCCATAAGTCAGTTTTATCAGTGCCTTTGCAACTTTGGTCAACTAAATAAACAGGTGTTAAGGGCTGCCTTCTTAAGCACAGGTAGCCAAACTTGCCAAGTTAAAGAGGGATGAACTTTTATTCCCTTCTCTTAAACTCCTTTGGCCTGAATTTTATTTATTTAGAGAAAGAACATTTATATGCCGCCCACTCACTTTCATTCCCTCTGGGTGGCTTAGTAAAATGATGATGAAGATGAGGATGATGATGAGGATGAGGATGATGAAGCAAGCAAGGGTAGTGTCAACTCAAAAATATTTCTCTGGTCTCTTAGAGTTTCCAGCAGAAAGGGAGTGGGAAACGCAGTGCATTCCTTAAATGCTTTCATAGATAATCTCTAGGCGACCGCAGCTTTTGGTGTGCAAGATTATTACTGGAGAACATGGTTGGTGACTCTTGGCTATGGATGTGTCCCATTGGATAGTATGCATCCAGGGGATGGGGGGAAGACCAGGGTCAAGAGTGAAATGAACGATGTGACTCAGAATCCGCTACATCCAGGTAGCACCGTCTTGTTCATTCCTAATCAATCTTCCTTAAAATCGGAGAGATTTTAACTCATGATTTAAATGGGGGTGGATGCTGGAGCCCTGACAGCTAGTACCAATAGTAGTAGGTGCTTTGCGTGTACTCCCAAAGCAACTGGAGCACCACTTGAACACCATAGGCATTGACAAATTTGCCATCAGTCAATTGCAGAAGGCAGCTTTACTTGGGACAGCTTCCATCCTGCGGCGATATCTGTAACACCATCAAACATCCAGATTTGCTTATCCCAGGTCCTTGTTAAAGACTCAACAGGTAGACCAAAATGGCAAACCCAGTCTGAACATCTGACTGATTGTGCAATGAATAACAACAACAACAACAGCAATAATAATAATAATATCTAAGATGCTGTCAGCAACCTGTATCAACCATCAGTGCCACTCAATATTTGGGTTGCATTTTTAAATGTTCAGTTGACTTGAGTTTCATGTTTAATGAATAAAAGTTTATAATAATAATAATAAAATATTCATTATCATTATTATTATCATCATCATCATCCCCTATACAAGTAGCCCTCAACTTACAACAGTTCGTTTAGTGACCGTTCCCGTGTGGCTGGCTCAGGAATTCTGGCGTTGAAGTCCACAAGTCATAAGAGGGTCACAGTTCCCCACCCTGATGTAGTGATGTAGACATCTCACACTCTTTTCCTATTGATGTACATATAGCAACTAGACCAGGGGTGGGATCTGACAGGGTTAACTACCGGTTCGGTGATTTATGAGGTTTGGTGATTTATGAGGTGCTTCCCTGCACGCTGCATGCGCGCGCCTGTAAATCGTCATCAGCCTGCTGCGTGCAGAGAAGCAGCCTTTCAAAAGGCCCTTTTTTCCTGCTTTTTAAACTGCAGCTGTGCCTCGCAACTGAAGTTGAAAAAGCAGGAAATAAAGGCCAGGTAAGAGCCCGGGCGGGCGGGTGGGCAAAAACACTAGCAGACATAGAATCGGTTCTACGTCTGGTGCTCTTCAGAGCTACTGGTTCTACAAAAGTGGACAGAACCGGTAGAAACCCACCCCTGAACTAGACTAGGGGTGTCATGCCCTTGGTAGAGTCGAATTCTGAGGGAGAGGAGGAATAGCTGACAGGGAGTGGAAGTGTTGCTCCGGAGGTTATGGAGAAGGCTGGGGAAGGGCAGAGGCTGGCTGGGCAGACAGAGGAAGAACCAGGCCCATCCCCTCTGCATCCTAGGATACGCAGGGAGGAATGGAGAAGGAGACAACTTGGCTTACGAGAGAGGAAACGGCCATGATCCCCTTCATTGGTTGCAGCTGGGGAGAATAGTATATAAGAGAGAAGATTAAAACACAGCGTTGCCAGAAGCAAAGCGTGTTTTATTTTGGGCTGAAGTTATCTTGGTTGGTGTCCTTCCAACAGACTGTGCCTTGTTAGCTCCTTGAAGTTGGTAATTACTTATCCTGGTCCGTTGTGGAATTTCCTTCATTGTAGTTTGTTTTGGTTTTTTATTTCACCTCTATCTGCTCATTAAGTTTGGACTGTATTGCTTACTTTTGAAGACTATTTTTGAATAAGTTTTATTGAACAGTGGGACCAAGTTGGAGGCATTAAAGGACACGTATTTACTTTTTGGATTTTGTTACATTTGTGTTACACTCCGGGTCATCACAAGGGGTGTCAAACTCATCAGGGCTGTCATTGACCTGGGGGTGGTGGGTGGGGGGAAAGGAGGGTGTGGCCAGCTGGGTGGGTGTGGCCAGCTTGATGCCACTCCCCAAACTGCTGGCATGTTTCTTCTTCGCGCTGGGTAGACCAGGATGCCGCCAGCTCCACGGGCTGGATCTGATCACATCATGGGTCAGATTTCCTTTGGGTTTCCTTCATATTTTGTCCTTTAAGCAGTGGTGAGATTCAGCCAGTTCACACCAGTACAGGAGAACCGGTGTGGTTAACTTTCTGAGCAGTTTGGTGAATTGGTTGTTGGAAGAAATCATTAGGGCAGAGAAGTGGTTGTTAAATTATTCGAATCCCACCACTGACTTTCAACTTCCCTCCTATCTTCATTTTAGATATTAAGTTGCTTCAAGCACCACCCAGCCCTTACATACCACCCATGCAAACCTTGAGGAGGACCTATGCCAGTGCACTGAGAAAACCAGCCGTCAGTGCTATCAGTGGTAAGTGGAGATGGAGGAATCCTGCCCCTTGGTGTGGGCTCACCTCCACATTTGGAAACGGGCAAGGATTTCAGGGAGGAAGAATTTGGCGAGAATGCAGTGTGCTCAAACCCTGCCAAGCAGTGGTGGTATTCGGCTCAGTTCGGCCCAGTTCTGCCAAGCCGGTAGCAGTAATGAGCAGCAGTTGTCTCTGACACTCTGCTGTTGGGCCCACCTGCCCGGGCTCCCATACTCACCTATATGTCCAGCTTTTGAAGCGCAGCTGCTTCCCACGGCACAGCAATTGCCCCCATGGCAGCTGCTGAAGCGTCAGGGAGAATGCAGGATTGCAGGAGGTGACTCAAAACATCTGCGCAAAGTGCTCCCACCAAACCATGCCCAACAGTGGTAAAAAATAGTTGAAACACACCGCTTGCTGCCAATGGCAAGCGCTTGGATCCTGAGCTGGGCCCAAGTTGTCTCTTCTCTTTCCAAAATCTCAGCCATCTTCCTCTGGTGATGGGATGGATCTCGGAGTCCGAGTGGACTATCCCTTAAATGGGAGCCAGCCATGTGCTGCAGCTGCCAAGAAAAAAGGCAACACAATCCTTGGCTACATCAACAGAGGGGTAGAATCAAGGTCACGTGAAGCGTCAGTACCGCTTTATATAATGCCCTTGGTAAGACCAGCCTTGGAATCCTGCATCCACTTTTGGTTGCCACAATATTTAAAAAAAAAAAAGATGTGGAGATTCTGGAAAGAGTGCCGAGAAGAGCAACCCAGAGGATTAGGGGGCTGGAGGCTGAAACATACAAAGAACGGTGGCAGGAACTGGGTAAGTTAAATTATCCATTGCAATGTCCTACCCGTCAATGATTACTCCAGCTTCAACCACAACAAGACAAGAGCACACAATAGATACAAACTCAAGGTAAACTGCTCCAAACTCAATTGCAGGAAATACGACTTCAGCCACAGAGTGATCAATGCCTGGAATACACTACCTGGCTCTGTGGTTTCTGTTGAGGTAACTCCCCATTAGGAGAATGAGCGCACATAGAGAGATGTTGTGAGAGTAGTGAAGAATAACACAGAACTAGCACACAGATACACTGTATAGTAAAATGTATGTTTTTACTTCCAATAAATGTTTAAGTAAAGTCCAAACAAGCAGTCCAAGTCTTACACGGTTAAAGCAGTCAGTTTTCAGTCCAGGGATAATCCAAATAACAAAGTCCAGTATCAAAAACAGTTCAGTAACAGACTTACATCAAATCCAAGACGAACTATGATCAGTAACACTCAATAGGAATGGCAACACTCTCCAGAACAACAGAACAGGAACAGAAACTTACTAAGACTAAACAACCTAGGTTTCTGGCTCCATCTTATGGCCATTTGTGGTACCACACCCAATTACAGTTTTAGCATTCTCTTAAAGATATAGTATTAAAATGTCTATCCTGGTTTATATATTTCCAACCCAAATAACTGTTAGGTGACTTACATTCCTAACAGTTTCTTCCCCAAACCCCAAAAACTTTAACCTTAGACTGTCTACTGTTGACGTCACCCCTGTCATGCCCCTGGTGGAGACTGACTCTGACGGAGAGGAGGAACAGCTGACAGGGAGTGGAGGTGTGGCTCCGGAGGTTGTGGAGGAGGCTGGGGAAGGGCAGAGGCCAGCTGAGCAATCAGGGGAGGACCCAGACCCATCCCTTATCCATCCTAGGGCACTCAGGGAGGAGAGGATAAGGGACAGATGTGGTCTCCTCAGGAGGAGAGGGCCTTGATCCTCTTCATGGGATGCAGGTGTGACAATTGCATAAGAGTTTGAAGGGCTTCAGCAACAGACAGAAATCCACGATCGTGCGCGGTTTCTGTCTGGGCTCGCCGCTGGAGCGCCCCGAGCCGGCTGGTTTCGGGGCTAAGCCACCCCGTAGAGGTGGTGAAGAGGGGGGAGACTGCCAGCAGGGTTGAGGAGAGCCACATCTCTCCTCCTCAGCTGGCCATTACTCCCTTTCCCGAAGGCGGTTGCAGCGGTGGTCAGAAATGGCCACCACAAAGAAGAACTTAACCGGAAAAGAATGTGCAGGAGGAAGATAAGAAGTGAAAATTTTGTAAAAGCAACAACCAAGGTATCCTGGAATTTAAACTTACAAAAAATAACATTGCTCCCAAAGAAGAGTCGGAAGCAGTGAAGGAAAGTGAAAAGGGAAAGGTTTGGCTTTTTTTTCCTTCTCTCTCCTTCCCTATACTGACAACTAAGAGACTTAAATAAGAAATTGGAAAAATCCGCTTTGACATCAATAGGCAATTAAGCTGAAAATAAAACAAAATGTCAGAGGGATAATAAAGATTTCTGGACATTAAAAACTTTCTTTTTCATAAGCAGGAAGGGAGAGAAAAAGAATAAGGGCAGGATCTGGAAGAGGGAGGAGACTGCCTGAAATTAAAAAGAATTTAAAGTAAAACAAGACTTCTAAAAGATACATTTTAACTGAAACTTTGCAACTAAATAGTAACCCCAGGAAGAGAAAGTGAAAAAAAAGAGCAAAAAAGAAACAGCTTGCGCGTATTTGGATTGTTTGGTGATCTTTGGATTCTTGGTTATTATATTTGAATGACTAAAATCAATTGGGTGGTTGTTTAAAAATTTATACAATGGCACCACTTCTGGATGAATTGAAAATGGAACTTTAAAAGTACAAAGAAGATGCACAAGAAGGGAAGGGTTCTTTTGGCTTTGTTTTTCAATTCTTAGAAATGGAGATTTGGAACTATGAGAAACAACAAGAAACGTCTGCAAAACAAGAAGACTGCGACAAAGAAGAAGCCATCTTTAATGAACAAGTAATTCTATGTGGGGAAGAAAAAGGAAAGGGGGGAAAGAGAATGGAGAATTTAAGACTTAAAAAAACAACCAAAGAAAAGAAAAATTATTTGAAAAATAAGTATAATACTGGAAAGCAACAGAAAAGGGAATATAGAAGAGAGAAATAGAGGTAGAGAGACAAGGGGGTAAAAAGGGGAGAGAGAAGAAAAGAGGGAAGAAGGAAAGGAAAAGAAGTTACAAAAGACTGGAGCAAGATATAGAGAAACAGGATCTATTTAGAGATAATGGGTGAAAATCTAACTGAAAAAGGGATTCTGTAAAGGTACATAAGATTGTATTGTTATATTAGTAATAGAAATAACTTTAGAAAATTGGAAACAATGTATGATTAAAATGAGGGATAAAATAGTTAGTGTAATTTAGTGAAATGTTTGTGAATAAAATAAGTGAAATAAAATAAATGAGATAATTGAATTAGGAAGGGACGGGAACATTTTAGTTAATGTTTTATAAAATATAAGTGAAGGGGGGGGAATTAACTATGGAAAGCTTATAATTGTTCCCATAGAAGTATGATATTTAACTGAAAAGTAATGTTAAAGATGTTAAGACTTTAATGAATATTAATATTAATTATAGAATTGAATTGGAATGGAATATTGTTTTAATTATATACATGTATAATTTTTTTCTTTTTTTTAAGAATACAGTGTGTATTTTAAGAATGTACCAAGCAGAATCTGAATGGAAGTTATGTATTATATTGAATGTTATAACTTTAGGGAAAAGATATAAAGTCGTCATACTCCAATCAGTAACTACAGGAGAAATTTTATTTAATGAGAAAAGATAATAGATAATTGAGAAGTTCCTCCAGCTGGGCTCCCAGAGAGTCATTGGTTACTGTAGCTCAGGGGCCCCCAACATTGGCAATTTTAAGATTTGTGGACTTCAACTCATCTGTCCATCCATCTCTATCTATCCATCTATTTCTCCATCCATCTCTATCTCTATCTCTATCTCTATCTCTATCTCTATCTCTATCTCTATCTCTATCTCTATCTCTATCTCTATCTCTATCTCTATCTCTATCTATCTATCTATCTATCTATCTATCTATCTATCTATCTATCTATCTATCTATCTATCTCTATCATCTATCAATCTATCTATCTACATCTATCTGTCCACCCATCTCTATCCATCCATCCATCCACCCATGTCTGTCTGTCTGTCTGTCTGTCTGTCTGTCTGTCTGTCAGTCTGTCTGTCTATCTATCTATCTATCTATCTATCTATCTATCTATCTATCTATCTATCATCTCTATCTGTCTGTATCTATCGTGTATCATCTGTCTGTCTGCCCATCCGTCTCTCTCTCTCTCTCTCTCTCTCTCTCTCTCTCTCTCTCTCTCTCTCTCTCTCTCTCTCTCTCTCTCTCTCTCTCATCCCTCTGTCTATCCATCTATCCCATCTCTCTCCTTCTCCCTCTCTGTCATCTAACCAGCTCTCCATCTCCTCCTATCCCAACAGTTTGTCAGCGGGTGGCAGTGTCTGACTACTCACAACCTGCAGGTGCTCCCAAAGTCTGTGTCTCTTTCAGATCTGGCGACCGCCGAAGAGGTGATTCAGCTGCCAAACTACCAGGAAGAATCGCAAAAGGCTTACGCAGAGAAGAAAATCAAGTACCGTAAGGAGCCCCCACGCCCCCAATTCCTACCTAGAGTGCCAAAGCAGCCTTGGGGGTGCAGTTGCCAGCTCACCCCCTCGGAGTCTTGACGACTCCGGCTGCAAAAGTTTGCATTCCTGCTGAGCACCCTTGAGCGAATGCGGCATTAGAAGAGAGAAAGTCTTGCCGCCCCCCTGTCCCCTCTGTTGCCCCCACCAATCTTCCTCAACATGCCCCCCCCGCCACTTGTTCCCGTGCTGACTTCCAGAGATGTGATGGGTAGCAAGAGAAGCGGAGTTGGGTGGAGTGACTTTCGCATGCCCAGGTGCTTCTGTTAGGGGAAAAAAGCCCATAGAGGAGGTTGGGGTGATGCTCAGAGATACAACCCTTCCTTGGGGGTGGGGGGGAGGGGTGGGAAGGATAGAATGGGGATGTAGTTTCTCAGCAGAGGTAGGATTCAGCCAGTTCAGACCGGTTCTGGAGAACCAGTAGCGGAAATTTGGAGTAGTTGGGAGAACCGGCCAATCCCGCCTCTGACTGGCCCCGCCAACCCCCATCTCTTCTCTGCCTCCCATCGAGTCCCAGCTGATCGGCTGGGTCTCTTTTGGTTGCCCTGCACAGGAGAACGGAGCTGGAAAGCAGGTTAGTGGGGTGGGGAAGGAAGGGGGATTTTGCAGTAACCTCCCCCTGCCACGCCCACCAAGCCACACCCACAGAACTGGTAGTAAACATTTTTGAATCCCACCATTGCTTCTCAGGTCAAGGACCCTGATTCAGGGAAGTAACATCCTAGGGACAGTCAGAGTGAAAACGTATAAGGTGAAATAGGCCAAGTCTCCTTTGGTGATCAATCTGAACATCCCCAACACACACACACACACACACACACACATACACACATACACACACACACACACCACTCTGTCTCTGTCTCTCTCTCTCTTTCATCTTTTGCTGTCTATGTCTATCAATCTATATAATCTGTCCATCTATTTCTATCTCTGTCTGTCATCTACTATCTACTATACTGTAGATCATCTGTCTATCTATTACCTAGCATTTATCTCACAGCATGTGTGCCTGTCTCCTATCGACCTATATCTATCTATCTATCTGTCTATCTATCTATCTATCTATCTATCTATCTATCTATCTATCTATCTATC